CTCCACATCTGCCTGCATGCCTCCATGCTTTCCGCATGATGACAGTGAACTAAACCTCTGAACTGTAAGCTAGCCCCAATTAAATATTTTCTTTTCTTAGAGCTGCCGTGGTCAAGGTGTCTCTTTACAGCAATAGACACCCAGACTAGGACAATATAGTTGTATTGATAGAAAGTGAATGTTCTGGCAAATTATAGTATCAATAAGTGACCATAAAGGCTGTTGAATATGAGCTTTATATAGAAAAAAATCAATTGTATTTCCATATATTAGCAACAAGTAAGTAACTGAAATTTTTTAATTCAATTAGCAAAGGAACCAAGAATACCAAACAGACAAATCCAGCAAGAGATATGTAAGTCCTTTCTACTAAAAACTAAAATGTGGAGTTGGAGAGATGGTTAAGGGCACACACTGCTTTTACAGAGGACCTGACTTTGATTCCCAACACTCACATCAAGAATCCACAACTGCCTGTAACTTCAGCTCCAGGGGATCCCATACTCTCTTCTGACTCCCATGAGCACCCGCACTCATACATGCAGACACACACTACCAAAACATAAAAAATAAACCTCAAAAAAAGACCAAAAGATCACTAAACAGAAATTTTCAAAGGCATAAATAAATTAAGTTATATATTTAAAAGACCTGATCAAAAGTTCTGGTTGTATTTCCCTACTAAAATTCATAATCTGATTGCAAAATTCAAATAAAAGTACAGAAGACCAACATTATCTACAACAATCTTGAGCAACAACAATATTACATTATAGTATTAACACCTGTTATAAAGTCTTCATAATTAAAATACTATAGAATTGGTACAAAAATAGGCAAGCAGAAGGCTGAAGAGATGGCTCAGTGGTTAAAAGCACTGACTTCTTCCAGAGGTCCTGAGTTCGGTTCCCAGCAAACCACATGGTGGCTCACAACCACCTGTAATGAGATCTGGCGCCCTCTTCTGGCACACAAGTGTACATGCATACAGAACATTTTATACTAAATAAATAGATCTTTAAAAAAAAAAAGAGAGAGAAGAAAATAGGCAAATGGAGCCCAGTAATCTGGTTAACAATAGCAACAGTACACTGCCAAGGGAAGAGGTGGACTTCTCAATAAACTGGGTGAAACACATGTGAAAAATAATATACCTTGACCTCCTTTTCATTCCTAGGTTTTAAAAAAAAATCAGATGGACTCCAAACACAAAAAGAAATATGAAGCAAAGATATATTAGAGAACACGTAAGAATCGTTTTTTCTTAATATTGGAATAGCTGATGGTTTCCTGCAGATAACAAAAAATACACTTTCTGTTAAAAAAAAAGATATAACTTGGTGTTCTTGTGGGACTTCTAACAGTGGGAGTGCGGGGTATCCCTGACTCTTTTCCTGTGCCTGGAACCCTTTACCTCCTACTATGTTATCTCATTCAGTCTTATAGGAAGGTTTGTGCCTAGCCTTGTTGTGTTCAGTTGATATCCCTGGAAGGCCTGCTCTTTTCCGAAGAAGGATTTGATCTGAAGGAGGGAGGAGGTGGGGGCACTGGGACAGTGAAGGGAGGGGAAACTGCTGTCGAGATGTATTATGTGAGAGAAGACTAAATAAATAAATAAATAAATATTTATTATATTTAATAAATATATTTTATTTTTTATATACTTATATATATTTATATATATAAATTATAAATAAATATATTATTTAAAATATTAAATAAATTTATTTATTAAATAAATAAATAGATAAATATTATAAAAAAGAAAGAAAAACAAAAATTCATCAATTGCAGTAGAATGAGAATTTCAAGACATTAGAAAACACCAAGAAGAAAATGAAAATGCAGCAATGAACAGCAAGAGGACAGTAAGTAAAACACACTTCTCAAAATAGTCTCAGAATATTAAGGAAAGGTAGGAAAAACAACTGAAAAGCAAGCAAAAGTCCTAAACACACATTTTATAAAAGATTGGCATCAAAGAGACCAAAACAACCAATTAGTCATCAGAAAAACTTCAAGTTAAAACCACACATTTTTTTCACACATTACTTTTCACACATTCCAAAAGGTCTTAAAATTTTTAATTGGAAAAAAATACTAACAAAGAGTTCTTAGGACTCTCAGAAGCTGTTGGTAAAAGTATAAACAACCACTTGGAAAGATACAAAGACGAACATATTCATGGCATTGTGACCAGCAGTCCTCGTCTGAGTATATATCCAGCATACATACATACATATGTCCATCATAAGATGCATATTTCAAGGTTCACAAAAATATTATTTTAATGGCCAGAACCTGGAAACCCTAATGACTACCAATGTGTGAAAGAGCAAATATGTATATGTTTCTACAATAAAATGGGATCGACATCTGATTCACATAACAGCATGGATGAATCTCAAAGGTATTTTGAACCATGAATCCAAATACCAAGAAATTACTATAATTTCATCAGTATGAAATACAAAAACAAGCAACAAACTATATAATTTTCATAAACATAGGAGTCAGGTTTGGCAGCAAATAAAATGTCTTTTCCCATTAAGCCATGTCACAATACAAAATAAGAACTGGCAGAGGTGAAAGTTCCAAAGACTGGTTGAACCCGGGCCTCACAAATACTAGACAACTGTTTTACCCCTGAGCTATATACCTGGCCCTCCATCTTTAAGGTGTTAAAATTGCTAAACTAACCTATGCTACTAGAAGTTAGGGTGGCAGCTACCTTTGGGGAAGAGAGAACTACTTGGAGGAACACACTGCAGTGTCTGAGGAGTCGAACGCTCTGCTTCGACTCCTCAGATGAAGCATCACTGAACTGCTCATGTTGGCATAGAATACTGTGTATGTATAGTATACATCAAAAACACAAATATTTTTAAAAAGCAAAAGACTATATATGCACAACAATCTACCATAACCATTGACAAAAATACACGTAATTAAAAGATACAGAAATCCAGAAAGGGTAGTGGAGGACAGAAAAAAGCATTCCTCTTGTGGTCTGGATACCTAAATCATTAGCATTCATGGCGCAACTCTAAATTAGGGTGGGCCTCAAGCCAGTGAGACGAGGCGAAGGCTGGCCCAGCCTAAACATCTGTGGCCACAGGATGAAAGTATTTATAGAGAGCTATATACCACATATATCCAAAAAGTAAAAAATTAACAACCAAGCTAAAAAATTGTTGTACATGTTCTACCTGCCTAGCTTCACACGCACACACACACACGCACACACACACACACACACACACTTCATACGAACCAGCAACTTTAGGTTCAATTTAGAATCATTGCACTATCCCAAATCTCTATCCCAATACAGCCAAGTCCCACACTAAAGGAGGGGAACTCACAATTGCACGTGTGGACATGTCAGGACATTTAAATTCCAACCATACTAAGTAGCTGTTCCTTAGACCTTGGGTGTGTACCCGCACAGTCATCCCTTCAGAAGGTGTACCTGAGCCTGAGAAAAGGGCCCACACAAGCCCTGGAAGCAGGCCAAGGCCGGTGGGTAAGGAGTTGCAGAAGCAAGGGTACTGTGAAGTGGTTTGAATAGCACACCGGTTCGGCATAGCACAGAATGAGCACATCCCTTCCGCCCACATACTCCCTGCCCCCCTGGAATAATACAGCCAAGGAAGGCCAAAAGGAGGCCAGGGAAGGGCCTTCATTTCCAAGTTTAAGGGCCAGTATTATAGACAAGACTGTCTTGGTCTCCAACCCAACCACATATCAACTTGACCTGCCATTTGCTGTTCTCCTCCATTTGCTGTTAGTGTGACAGTTCCAGATATGATCAACTTAAAGGGAAGAGAAGTTGAGACGGGGACAGAGCTCATCACACCTGAGGCTTCCTCACTGTAAAAAGGAGAACACAAAGGGAGGGCATGTTATTTAGTCCATTGGGAGTCACTTGACTCTAGGATTAGCCCTGTGGTGGCACAGTGACTCAGGCAGAGCACACAGGAAAAAAGCGGTCCCTGTCAAGGACAAGCCCCAGTGTCCTCTACTTGCTCCACCACGTCCCCAGAGTGTCACAGGCTGGCAGCCAAGGCCTTTAACACCCAGGCCCTGTGGACACTTACCAAAATGTAGGGCACGCCCTGGGCTTTACAATCTAGCAAGCACATTCTCATGCGCACAACCAAGCCGACGAGATCTCTAACAGACCCGACCTTGAGAAAAGAGAAAACTTAGACAAAGTGACTTGCCTGGAATAATGCAATTGAAAAAATAGGCACTGTTGGGTCTCCAGGGACAACTGTTCCTTCCAAAGTTCAAAGGCCGTGGTGTTCCCACTACCCCACACTGTCGGGCCTCCCCCAGCTTCCTAGAGAAAGGGCAGGCTCTACGGACTGAAAACTGCAAATATCCTGTTGAAAGAAGCTGAGAGTGGGGGAAGGGAAGTTAACATCAAATACAGGGCAGTTTCTGGGAGGAAGTTCGGACCTTAAGCAAAACTCGTCACTGAGACAAAGCCTGCTCTATAGGGGCAACTATTCTCGCTAAATCCTGGGGGCTCCATTCCCACTCCAAACCACAAAATGAGAGCCTTCAACATATTTAAGCAATCTCCACCCAAATTCCACACCAATTACATGGGGGGCTGAGCCCACGGCCCCTCCTTCTCTCGACCACTCTGCTGAAAATACTGTATTAATCAGAGGGCAGCATAAAGCCACAGGGCTTCGTCTGCTGGGAGACAACCCAGGCAAGGAGCCCGGCACCAGCCACACGTGAAGCCTGACCCTCCTCCAGCGAGGACCCACTGAGGCTACGCCTTCCTCTAATTGCCAGAGTGTCTAACTGGCTCAGAGCCTGGACAGTTATGCAGAGAACCATTGCCTGGTCCTAGCACAGATGTGTAAAGCTGGGGCCACCACATGGGCTACAAACTAACTGCGTGAAGCTGTCACCACTTCACTCCACCGTCCCCGGATTGCCGAGAGCAGTAGCCTCCTCTGCACCTTGAGCTCGGCAGCATCATGTCACTGGCACACACAGCTGCAGAGTATATGCTCTCTGATGCCCTGCTGCCTGACCGCCGGGGCTCTCGCCTCAAAGGACTGCGGCTCGAGCTGCCCCTGGACAAGATAATCAAGTTCGTCACTGTGGGCTTCCCCTTGCTGCTGATGTCTCTGGCTTTTGCCCAAGAGTTCTCATCAGGTAAGAGACCTGACTTCATTCCACCCTACACCCTGGATAAAGTGAGAGCCCACTCCTGTCTTAAGTAGGTTCCCTGGCTTTGGGCTGGACTGGATCCCTAAGAGGCAGGTCATGGGTGAGTCTAGGGTACCTGCAAAGCAAAAGAACCAAAAAGTTACAAGAGTCAACCTGGAAATCTTACAATAAAAAATAACTAATTGCAGAAGGGGAGTGGGTGGAGTAAGGGGGGTGTGGGGAGTATGAAGGAGAGAATATGCTCAACATACTATATATACCTGAAACTAAAAAAGTAAACAAAAATTTGAAATCAAAACTAGCTCCTCACTTTAGCAGTCATGCATTTTATGTCAAATCAATGATACAAACTATCATTTTGGCTTCTAGAGACACGAGAGGTTGGGACTCTTAGCCCACTGTGAACAAACTTTTTCCTGAACCTTCTTCCTGCCGCCACTTGCAGAGTTAATACAGCCTTGTTGGGAAGCGCTCAACAAACCCCTACGTCTTTTCCATGACTCTAGACACAAACAGATACTAACGCACGCACGTTTTCAGTGTTGTAAGCACTGGGTTAACTCAGAAAGCCTGCTGGTCTCTCTATTGCAGTCAACTGGGTCCCTTGTTTTGTTTTGTTTTTTCCTGTCTGTGCCCATTAGTTTGCTGCATTTTCTGATGAGGCATTCCACCTCTCTCTGCTTCTTCACCTGCAAGAATGGGAACAGGATTGGTTCCCAGCTCTACCAATTTCTGATAAGAAACAGGAAAGCTAGATCCTCTCATCCAAACCCATTTTCCTTTCCATGTAGACATTAGTTCTCTGCCTTTTACAAAACAAAAACAAGTCATCTTTTAATCTGGGTATGGTACAGACACCCAGTATTCTGGGAAGGGGGGTGACAAGTTTGAAGTCAGCTTGACCCACACAGTGAGACTCTATCTCAAAACAAAACAATGCTGATAAGATGGTCCAACAGGTAAAGGCACTTGCTGCCAAGTCTGCCAATATGAAGTACAGTTCACACGTGGTAGAAACTATGGCAGAAGGACAGAAGCAGTTTCTACAAGTCATTTTCTGGCCCCCACAAATATGACACAGCCCATGCACACACTTGATACACACATAAAATATTTTTAAAGGAGCCCATCTCTCTGTTGGATGGTAGTGGCACAGCCTTTCATTCCAGCATTTAGGAAGGCAGAGGCAGGTGGTTCTCTCTGAGTTCTAAGCCAGTCTGATCTACAGAATGAGTTCCAGTTTAGCCAGAGCTAGACAGAGAAACCTTGTCTTGAAATATAAAAACAACAACAACCAAAAAAGATGTCATCTTTCTTGAATGGAAATGTCACTATCAAATGTCAAGCCTTCTTGTGGCAAACTGCTGAGTTCAAGGAGTCTCTGGTGGCTTCCTATGTGGGAGCCTGGGGGAACTGGAGAGTTAAGGCCCATCAGACCTAAAAGAGCAAGTCGGTGCATTGGTAGCATGGGCCAAACTGTGTGGGCCATTCCATCAAGACACAGCAGTTCAGGGCCCGGAAAGCTGAGACTAAGAGAGAAGGCAAGGCCTGACAGCCACAGACAGTTACCAAGTCTTAAGGATGTCCCCTCGCCCAGAAAGCTCTTGAATGATCTCCATCCCTCTGCTACAACTCAGGCTGCCTCAAAGTCACGGTCCTTTTGCAGGATCTCCGATCAGCTGCTTCTCTCCCAGCAACTTCAGTGTCAGACAGGCTGCCTATGTGGACAACTCCTGCTGGGACTCCCTGGCTCACCATAAGCAGGACGAGGCTGGGCAGTACCAGGTGAAGTCTCTCTGGCCTCACAAGGTAAAACAGAAAGATCCTAGCAGGATGGCTTCCTGGCTTGGGAGTGGGGGTGAACTGAACCACCATACCCCTCACACTGCACTCCATCCTTTTCCACTATGCCCCCTTCCACTTCGCCCTGTCTTTGCCTATTTATTTTGGCAGCTGACTTTCATAGTCTGGGGTTTGTCAAATGCTTGCTGATCTCTGGTTGCCAGCTTTCATATGATTGGAAGTTTTGTGCTTGTGAGCAAGGCTTGCTGACAAGCAGGTTCAGGTAAAGGGAATCCCTTTGGTGTGCTTCATTGGAAAGAAACTCTGATATTAGTATCTAGTCCTATGCCAGATTTGTCTGCTGTCTTTGAGTCATTCAGTTCTGAGTTGGAGTAGAGGGTTAGAGTTCAGCAGGTATCAAGCCTGACTGCTAACCCTCCGGGAACTGAGGCATGGGTCCATCACCTAGTTCTTCGTTCCTTACACCCTTCAGGATAGTTCTCCTGCACATAGTAGACACAAGCATAGAGTGGTTTAGTCTCTCCTGAGACAAAACTTCAAGCCTTCCTCCAGGAATGGGAAAACGTGGTTGCTTGGCTGCTGTATATTGCAGAAAAATCTGCAGTTCAGCATCTCACACCGACTTTTCAGTATCCTGTTTCAAACTGACTTATATATACTCTTGCTTCTCAGTTTCGCCCGTACCCCTGATTCCTGGTTCTGGGTCGCAGACAGTTTGTTCTTGCCTGGAATCCCTGCCTCTCCTCACACCACACCGTATATCAGGCAGTTGATCCCCAGCTTTCAACATTTTGCTGCTCTTGCCTCCTCGTCTCCTGTTTGCTTTGTCCTTAAACTTTGTCTTTGTTCTTTCTTGTCATCCTAGAAGGCAAAACCAAAGACTTAGTGGAGGTCAGCAGGTCAAGACTGTGATAAGTCCACAGATTTGGGAGGAGATTCATGTTAGGAAAGGTCAAAACGCCTGACCATCAGTGTCACCAGGAAGTGCTCAAAACCCAGATTCTTTGGTTCCACCCCATTCCTAGGAATACACTCTGTAGAAGTGAAGGCCTTCTTTTCAGGAGATATTATTTCTTAAAAGGAGTAAAACAGGGGCTGGAGAGATGGCTCAGTGGTTAAGAGCTCTGCCTGCTTTTCCAAAGATCCTGACTTCAATTCCCAGCAACCACATGGTGGCTCACAACCATTTGTAATGGGGTCTGGTGCCCTCTTCTGGCCTTCAGGCGTACACACAGAGTACTGTATACATAATAAATAAATAAATATTTTTTTAAAAAAAGGAGTAAAACAATTACAATTTAACTTAAGGCCCCAGTTTACCCATTCTAGTCTTTTTTGTTGATCAGAAAACATACAGAGACAAACAGACACACACACACACACACAGAGAGAGGGGGGGGGGAGAAAGAGTGAGAGAGGGAGAGAGACCTTCCATTTTTTCTTCTACACTTGCTACTGCAAAGACAAAGCAATCTGGAAGAAACCTGGGTCAAGGGATCATCAGGAGGATAAACTCCTGAGCCTCCTATCCTGCTCCAAATCTTCACTCTTCCACCTGCTGAGTGTGTGGATGCTTGACTTGGCCTTGATGCAGATTCCCCCACTGTAAATAGACACAGGGGTGGCACCCCACCAATAGCATACTTGTGAAAGCCAAGTGAAATAATGCATCCTGTGTGCCAAGCAACAAATGCAGATTCACAAATCCTTCACAAGGAGTGTGCTATGGATAAAGAGATGGGTCTGCCTCTGTTGGATGCATAAGTATAATAAAAAAATTCAAGAGAAGGTTCTATCCTCCCTGCCCAGGCCACCACAACAAAGGGCAACCTAAACAGAAATTTAGGGTGTCAGCAGTTGACTCCTCTGAGGGCTGCAAGAGATATATCTTCTATCTCTTCTGTCTGACTCACAGACACACCATCCTGGTATTCGCCATGTATGAATTTCTATCTTCATATGAGGGGAGGAAAGTCTTTAAAAACACCAGTGTAGCTGAGAAGACATGACTTACACATTCTAAAGATCCATTCCATTATCCTGAAATGACCCCCAAAGAATTCCACAAGAGCGTCTAGTGTTCTCACTCGACACTGCTGAGGATCCAGAGATTAGAAAAGACAAGCACAGGACAGGATATATAAACAAAACAATATTTTCCCTCCCCTAGGATGTCAGGACCACTGTTGGTCAGATTCTCAGGCTAGATACTCAGTCTGCTCTGCTGAGGCAGAGGAGACAGAGATCTACCCTCCATTCCTCTTCAGCTTTCTTTTGCCTCTTCTCCTTGGAGCCCCAGATGGATCATAGATCAGAAAACCCATAGACCATGGATCTGGGTAATATGGAGCAACGATGTCGCTTCTCTATCAGCTACACTATATAATTACATGTGGGCAGAGCTTTGGGTAGTCGACTCTGTGCACTCTCTTCCCTTCTAAAGTGGGACTAGAAGAGCAGCAAAGCCTCCATTTAGCCACCATTCAAGGCCCAATACCCTGGCCTCTCTCCTCAGCCTTCTCTTCCTTGCAGGCTCTCCCCTACTCTCTCCTGGCTCTGGCTGTCGCCATGTATTTGCCAGTACTGCTGTGGCAATATGCAGCTGTGCCAGCCCTCAGCTCTGACCTGTTGTTCATCATCAGTGAACTGGACAAGTCCTATAACCGTTCCATCCGCCTGGTGCAGCACATGTTGAAGATCCGGCAGAAGAGCTCTGATCCCCATGTCTTCTGGGATGAGCTAGAGAAGTAAGTTGCTCCCTCTAGGTTTTTCTAAAAGACTCTGTGGCATATTAAATTGATACCAGTGCATAGTCATCTTTATATTTTCTCTATGTCATCCCTCTCAAGAGAACAAAGTCCTCAGTTCATCCCTTCATTCTTGGAGGAGATGACCTCCTCATTCCTGCAGAGAGAAGAGGACTCGACCTCTAGGTTACAGAGGAACACACTGAGCCCTAGGGATTAATAGCTCTAAAATATTACTTTGAATACCATTCCCTTGCTAAGAAACCTCAGCTAACTCCCCCATGCTTAGCAAAAAAATGTTGAAAGTCTCAAATACCTGCCCAAGGCCTCAAGCACAATGTCAACTACTTTTAAAACTTCTAGTTATAATTTAAGTACTCTTAATCCCCAGATTGACCAGTGTTCCAAAATCCAATTTTTTAAAAATATCATTGATAAACTCTTTCAAGTATTCCTGTAGTAGGGCAGGCTGTGTCCCACCGCCCAGCTAACTTAACCCCCGAAATAACCACACAGAAACTATATTCATTTAAATCACTGCCTGGCCATTAGCTCTAGCCTCTTATTGGCTAACTCTCACATCTTGATTTAACCCATTTCTAATAATCTGTATTTCACCACAAGGTCGTGGCTTACCAAGAAAGATTCAGCATGTCTAACCTGGTGGCTGGCTCCATGGCAGCTTTCCTTCTGCCCCTCTTCCCAGCATCCAGTTCTGTCTACTCTGCCTACCTAATTGCTGCCCTATCGAAAGGCCAAGGCAGTTTCTTTATTCAACCAATGAAAGCAACACAAATACAGAAGGACCTCTTACACTATATTCCAAAGTAAAGATATATAAAGAATATATACACCACAAAGAAAAACCTGAAATATTCCCAAACCCTAAAGATCTGGGATATGGGATATTTAACCTAGTCTGGATAACAAAAATCTTCTATTTTGCCTAAGTAGTTTCTCCCTTATCCCTGAGCAAATCATTGATGGAATTAATCCTTCATCTATCTAAGTACCAAGTTTTGATTGTGTGTGTGTGTGTGTGTGTGTGTGTGTGTGTGTATACACACATGTGCACGCATGTAGATGTTCAGGAAGGACAGGGGCAAAGGCAACAAAGCTCTACTTACCATTGTGGGTCTAAGAGTCTATTGAAGGAAAGCAGGCAGAAAGTAAGCAAGGTATATACATAAAATACATTTTAGTAGATGACAAACAGTATGAAGGAAAAAATTAACAGAGGGCAAGGGAACTGGAAAGCTAAGAGATAAAAATGGGGCAGTTTTTAAAAAGGTCTGTTATGGCCAGTGTGAGCCAGTGAAAGGGGAGTTTAGCTAAGATTTGTGACCATATTCTGTCTCGTGTTCATGTGCATACTATTTCCTCCAAAAAGCTCTGCTCTACCATTTTGGAACCCTTATTTAAACCAATATTCTCTCTCATGGCTTCTGAACACTCTAACTTACACTGCTACTCCATTTCCTAATATTCACACCTGTTATGGTTTATGTGCACTCAGCAACAAGCATTAATTTTACTGTAGATGACAAATCTTATCTGCCCTTCCCCTCAAGGCAGACACTAAATCTTCCTCAAAGCAGAGACGGGCTTACCTGTACCTCCCCAGCACGGTTCTCTGAGTTCTTAATGTTTTAATCTGTATAAAATTAATGAACTGACCTCAAAATCATACTCAGAACACAGAATTCCATTATTTACATTCCCAATAAGCTTATTGCTTTGTAAATCCTACTTTGGCTTTGAGCTTCAGTTAACCTTATTGGGCAGGAACTCACTTGGTCTGTGACCATTCGTACTTTATTGATCATCCCTGGATTTAAGACACTGTATTTAATGTTTGGAGAACTGGAGAGTACTCACACACCCCCTCTGGGGGAAGAATTGTGGTTATGATCATGAAGGGAATATAGATTTTTAGAGATACTAAAAATGTTATGCTTGGGGCTGGGGAGATAGATCATCAGGTAAAACCACTGGCTGCTCTTGCAGAAGACTGGAATTACCTTCTCAGTGCTCACATAGCTGCTCACAACATCTGAAACTCAGTCCCAGGGCTCCTCAAGCAATGTACACATGTAGCACATAAGCAGATGTGCAGGCTAGCCACCCATGTGCGTAAAATAAAAATAAAGGTTAAAAAAAATAATGTCATGTTAGACATACAGATCTTCTAGTCTCCCACATGACTTTTGGGATGTGGTTCTAAAATGATATTTCCTAACGAAGCCTTCTTTCTTCCCCTGCCCAGGGCCCGGAAAGAACGGTACTTTGAATTCGCCTTGTTAGAGCGGTACCTGGCATGCAAGCAGCGCTCCCATTCGCTAGTGGCCACCTACCTCCTGAGGAACTCCCTCTTACTCCTCTTCACCTCAGCCACTTACCTATACCTTGGCCACTTCCACTTAGATGTCTTCTTCCAAGAAGAATTCAACTGCTCCATCAAGACAGGGCTGCTACATGCTGAGACCCATGTACCAGAGCTGATCACCTGCAGGCTGACCTCCCTGTCTGTCTTCCAGATTGTTAGTCTCTCCAGTGCAACAATATACACCCTACTGGTCCCGGTGATAATATACAATCTCACACGGCTATGTCGGTGGGACAAACGACTCCTTTCCATCTATGAGATGCTGCCAGCTTTTGATCTCCTCAGTAGAAAGATGCTGGGATGCCCCATCAATGACCTCAATGTGATCCTTCTTTTCCTCCGAGCTAATATCTCTGAGCTCATCTCTTTCAGCTGGCTCAGTGTTTTATGTGTGTTGAAAGACACAACCACCCAGAAACACAACATTGACACAGTGGTTGATTTTATGACCTTATTGGCTGGGTTAGAACCCTCCAAACCTAAACATCTCACCCAACAGGTGCATGATGAACACCCATAGTTAAGAAAGGAACCATGGAGAGATAAGTTTTGTATAAAGTTACTCTCCTTCTTCACAAGCTATACAAAATAAAAGACCAAAAATTAATAAAGATGATGATAATTATATCCACTTAAAATCGCTAAGGTTATATCAGCTGACTTTCCTGTATTTATAAGAAGATAGAATCAATGCATGAATATTCAATGTGAAGTCTAGAAATGAAGAGTCAAAGAATAGAAAAATTAGGTCTAGAGAATTCTGAGGACAGTGACACCGAATGAATTGAAGTCTAGACTTCGAACACAGAAAGACTCTAAAGGCCATTTATGGAGGAAAATTCTCTCAATATCCACTCACTCTAGAAGTCATGCTTGCCTCACCCCAATGAGCAGGTAGAACAATTTAGTAAGAGATTAGTAAGGATATGAAACCCCTGGAAACACTCTGATTCGCCTGTCCATCTTGCTGTGTAGACACCTTCAGCCTTACCAAACCCTCCATGGCCTGCAAAGTAAGACAAAAAATGACTTTAACTTGCAGTCTGCTCGTGGAATATTAGGACAGAAGCAAAGACCATGAAAGGAATCTTTAGGGGACAAACACACTTTTAATTATGTAAACTGGCCTCTTTTCCACAGGGGCTCAGATTACGGACTAAGAAGAATTTCACAAGTCTTAATAGTTCAAGAGATTCCACACCTTCACCTACAGCCAACAACTTAAGGACAGTAGGTTAAGGTGCTTGCTGCTGAGTCTGATGACCTGAGTTCAATCCTAGGACCCAAATGATAGAAAGAGAAAACTGACTCCTGCAAGTTAGCTTCTGATCTCAATAAATAAATAAATGCCAAACATGAAAGTCACATTGATTCACTTCTGTCCATTCTCTGTTTCACTACTCCATCCTTGCATCTAACTGCCAAAGCTTTGCTCTGATTCCATAGGCTGTGCTTTACCCACAGTACCATGGTGTCTCTTAATGAATATTTTTAAGCTGTATGTTATGTATTTCTTGAGAGAATTTTCAAACAAGTCATTTAGATCCCTCTTCATATAGGTAAGTAGAAAAGTCTTGTTACTTCTGACAAACTCAGGTAAATTTACCTAAAGCAAGCCAAGAGCTCACCGACGGCATTACTAAAGTCTTGTGCCATTAATGAAAGCCCAACTGCTCAGTGAGTATAGAAGCCTTTCGTGCTGTGCATGCTGCCCACTACTTGAGTCTCTCTCTCCTCTCGCTTCCCCAATAGATGAAAAGATGGACGAAAACAAACGGTGGAGCCAGGAGAAAGCAGCCCTCAGAAGCAGCCCAAGCCCTATTTTTGTTTGTACAACTGAACAAACTACTTCAAAATTCTATCTCCAGCTTTCAATTTTAAAATTAACAGAATGACTGGACTGGACTATAGAATGACATAGCCTTCTTAACTAACAGACAGACATGAGATTAGTCATTGTACCTTGAAAAGCCTCAAGTAGAAATTAGATATAAGGGAACCAAAACAAACAAATAAAGAAACCACAGCTGCATTTTGGTAGTTGTGTCTCCTGACAACAGAATGTGTCTTTGCAGTTAGAAATCCTTGAAGCTACAGATAAGCAGTTCCTGCTATAGCAAAAAACAAAACACCAGAGCACTTTGATGTACACGCACCCTAGCAAAGTATCTCTGTCCTCCAAAGATCTCAGCTCATTATAATAGCATTTACATTCTGGTTCTGATAATACCACCATAACTCCTCCACCTCTTCCCTTCCTTTCTCCTTCACCTTCGTCCCCAGCCCTTCAACCCATCACTGCATGCATATTTCTAGAGAGGATCATGGGAAGAAATAGCATAAAAAGGAAATATGCTCATTATGTTTTGAGAAGAAAAACAAGTCAACTTACTTCACGAAGATGTTACTCACCTCTAACTTCATTAAAATACACAACACAGAACCCTCTGGACTACTGTCCACATACACACACCCTCAGAGAGCACACTTCTGTCTCTCTCTGGAGGGCTTACTTTGCATGCTAAATAGACTCCTGTCTAAACTCTGTCTCTAGATTGAATTCTTTCCTTCCGTAGACTAGAAGCTAGAAGCCAACCCCATTAACAAGGGTGCACAGCTTTCACTGTAATCACTTGTAGCACCCATGCTTCTCACGATACTGAGGATTTGGACTTGCAGTCTCCCCTCCAGGGTGCCCTTCTCTGCCATTCATTGTGCCAACAACTACTTCTATTTTAGAGTGCCCAGGAGAAGCTCTTTCAAGATTCTTCCTATTTTCTTCCTCTTTCCCTAGATGATTATTGCCATGCCTAGCAAAAATCTGCTTCAGAAATAAGCTTTCATACTATATCAATGAGATTTTTCTAACAGTTGTATCTTAGTAGACACTAATCGGCACAAATTAGTGAGAGAACAAGTTAGGCAGTAGCAACACGTGGTTTGGAACTCACAAACTCCTTTACATAGTCCAATATCAAAATGCCTTGGCCACAGAGATGTGTGTCACACAAACTGACCAAAAAAGTCAAACAATGTAGAAATAATTGTACAAAAGACAATAGAGCTGTAGCTGAAATAGTTAAAAGACATTTAATATGCTTACAGGACTGAGTAGATAACTCACAAGGTACAGTATTTACTGGAACTCAATGGCCAGCCGGGTCTAACCAAAATGGCTCCAAACTCAGTTAAAAAACAAAATGTCTCAAAAAGTAAAATGAAAAAGCAACTGAGGAAGACGTTTAAAAATCAGTTCTTGTCTAAGATTCCAGTACATATTTTCTAAGACAGTATATTTTGTAGGCTTTCATAATTCTGAAAACTTCTAAAGCTAAATCTACAAGTACATTTGTGAAGACAATGTTGCATCATTAGACACAGTCACATCAATCAAAAGTCATTTCTAACACAGGCAGTCACAGGACAATATCTATAAGCTTTTTCTCTTTGTTGAAATTCATTTTGTCCAAGGGTGGCAATGGCAAACGTCTTTAATCTCAGCACTCAGGAAGCAGAGGCAGGCGGATCTCTGTGAGTTCAAGGCCAGCCTGGTCTACAGAGCAAGTTCCAGGACACCAGAGCCACAAAGAGAGACCCTGTCTTAAAAAAACAAACAACAACAACATACCCATTTTGTCGATACTGCAACTGTTCTATAGCTTTCAGAGATGAAGAACCTGGGTCACTTACTTTACTCCGTTGTTTTTATTAGTATTAGATTTTTCTTTAGTAATTAGAGAACTTGTAAATTACATCTTTCTTGAACTTTCATGTACAACCTTAAATATCTAGATTTTGAGAATTTAACAGCAATTCCCTTCTGTATCAGAACACTACTTTGGAAATTCCTCCCATCTCATTACTTAATGTTTTCGGAGGAAAAAAAAAAAAACATGAGCAAGAGGCTCAGTCAACTGGTTTGTGACACTACTAAAAGAATATAAGCCTGCTGTCCAGTCTAGAGCAATTTTGCACTTAAAGATTTGTCTGGCCTTATAACTGGCCTTAGTTATAAACATTAAACTGAACTATTAAAAAATTAAACCGGTGTATGTGAATAGAAATACTCTTGGTTTCATTCAAAAACCACTGAACGCCGACTTTGTGCTAACATTTTATTAAAACTGTTGTGTAAGTAGAATAAATGGGAAGCTGAGTTCCAGCACTAATACTCAAGTCTCCTAAAATCCAGGAAGGTCTGCTCAGAGCAACTGGAAAAAGCAGACGTTGACTCGCACCCGCCTGAGCGCAGAGAGAACGGGAGAGTCCGCAAGGGTTTTCTTTTTTTTTTTTTTAATCTGTTTTCCTTCTGTGACAACGCACACTAACACCCGGGTAGGACAGGCCCTTTCCAACCTCAGCTTCTCCCCGCAGCCCTGAGCCACACCCCTCCTCCAAGTCCACCAAGGCCCGGACCACCCGCCGCTCCCAAGCCCGGAAGTTACACGTGGCCGTAGTCTTGCGTAACTTCCGGCGGGGCTTCCTTGGGACCCTGACGCGGAAGTGCCGGGGAGTACCTGCTGGTGTCACCTGCCCTCCATGCCCCCCGCAGCCCCAAGCCCCCCAGCTGGGGCCGGATCATGAGCCTGCTGGGCGGCCTGGCTTCCGAGCCGCGCACCCCGCTATCTAACAAGGCCAGGATGAAAAAGCTTCCGAAGAAGAGCCAGAACGAGAAGTACCGGTTGAAGTACCTGCGGCTGCGCAAAGCAGCCAAGGCTACGGTGTTTGTGAGTCTGGGTTCAGCCGCTCTCTCCCTGGGACTGTTCTGCCCACCTGTTCGTCGCCTAGAGAAACAGTGTCAGGCCAGCGTTAGTTTCATCACTTATCCTTGAATAAGTTGTCATTTCTCTAGTCCTGTCTACTCCTTGAGGACTGCAAAGTGTCCCGCCAGTAAACTGTAATCATTACCTTTTTGCTACGTTTTAATTTTCTAGATGAGCTCAGTATTAAGTGTCTTTTAATGCGAGAACACTGAAGCTCAGAGAAATGGTTTGCCCGGACTCCAACTCGAATATCCTGATTACAGTTTATGATTTACACTACACAGCCTAATTCCTAAGCACGCCCCAATCCCTCGCCGTGACTGACACCTTGCTTAAATAGGCCCTGAATCTTTCAGGGTTGTAGCTGCCTTTGACGAGAGTCTTCCAGGTGTTTCTGCCTCCCCTCTTCCTGATACTGGGGAAATTTAAGTCGTCACATAAGGACGCACACTATAGCCCTGTTGTCGAGGTGTATCTGCACTTCCTGCATTAATTGTAGGGATTTCGGATTTAGTGAATGAATTGTTTTGCCCACCAAGTCTTACTAGGGCCTGATATGTCTAATACTCAGACTATCCTGGCTTAACCTGAGTCAGCTCGGCGCTTGGAAATACGTCTACGTTCCAAGTGCTCTCACGCATCTAAATCAGTAGTTTAACTCTTGTTTCTACAAAATTTCAATTAAATATAGGCCTTTTAGATGCATCAGGGAAAGCTTGAACATTAAATTTATTATTCCTAAAACATTAATATTTGTATGTGTTGTGTTGAAAAAAATTAAGAAAAGTAAATGAAGATTGCAACACCTTACTTACTGTTCCCTTTCGTCACTTCCTGTCAGAGTTGCCTAGTGCTTACAATTTATTTTAAAGATGATGGTTCCTTTAAGTATATGAAAATCTTGTGAAGCCAGAGGATGTTTTGAACACTGAACGAAGTTCCACCTGTGAAGCACCTAAATGGGTGTTTCCTTCAGAACTGGTTTTAAGATAGACTGAGTCATAAGTAAAAAATGATGATAAGGATTTTACACACAGTATTTAATTTCTTTTCATCCTTTTTCTCTAAGGCGTTGTTCTATACAATACCCTGGGTTAGATGTCCTTGTCAAGGTCAAGGCAGATGAGCATAGCTAATCCTTAGAATTCTGTAGTGGTGTAATTCTGTGTCTAGGTAGTGTATCGTCTCTCCAAAGGCTACACTAACTGGAGTGGCCACATACCTTGATTGGCCCAATGTATGCCATCCTGGTGTACCATATTGTTCTGACATATGCATTAAGAATGCCCCTATTCATCGGAAGGTGTCCCCTCACTGGATAAGAAATTATATAATTCCTCTGCCTGCAGTAGAACCCAAACACATTACCTACAAATTATTTTATTTTTTTTATTATTGATGTGTGTATGCCACCAAACACATGTAAAGTTTAGCAGACAACTGTCAGGGGTCGTTTCTCTCCTTCCACTATGGATTCTGGGGATCAAATCAAGTTGTGCTTGTATAGAAGGTGCCCTTCCCTGCTCTGCCATCTCCCAGTCCTGTAAAGATGTACTAATAGCTTGTGTGCAGAGTAGAATAGCATTTCCCTTTTATCCTGAAGCACAGAGGGATTTTTGTTTGTTTGTTTGAGATATAGATCTTGTTCCCCGAAAATGGCTTCATTTTTAAATTCATTTGATGTGATTACAGTCCATTTTTTTTCTTAAAGGAAAATGCTGCTATTTGTGATGAAATTGCTCGTCTTGAGGAAAAATTTCTTAAGGCAAAAGAAGAAAGAAGGTAAACTAGCTTCATATTTTTTTGTTATTTTTATTAGTGATCAATATGGAGTTTTTTCTCCAGAGGATTCTTGCACGTAGCACAACCACTTGAAGCAATACAGAGAAAATCCAAACCTGTGGTGTTTCTACCCAAGCTTTGTTGGGCTCTGATGGCAAGACAGTTCTTCCTTTCATCTTTCTGACAGAGCCTTCTTCTCCATGTAATTATCACTTCCCAGTTAGGAAAACCAAGGGATACAATACATAATACTCATTCTGTAAATATTCGGTCCATACTTCCCTATGCAAAGCACAGTGGGTGTGTGGATACCTCTACCTCCTATGACACCCTTCAGACACCTCAGGCCTTCCACCCTAAAGGTAGAAGAGCCCTGCTGGTGCAAGAGAACCTCTAGCCATTATCTCAATTTCTTGAGTATTAATTATCCTCTGGGGCTTCATTGTCTCCAGGTTCCAATAAGAACCTTATTGTTTGAGTGTGATAATCATTGTCTATAATTCTGTACTTCCCAATACTTAAGTAAAATGATGAATTGAAAAAAAAAAAAAGAAAAACAAAGACAGAATGTCACGCCTCTCCTCCCATTCCTCTCCAACCTCAGATACTTGCTGAAGAAGCTCCTCCAGCTTCACGCTCTAACTGAAGGGGAACCGCAGGCTGCAGTTCCTTCCCACAGCTCCACTTTGCCCCTGGCTTTTGGTGTGGCCAGCTCTGTGGGAACTATCCAGGGAACTGGGCCCAGCACTGGGGCCGAGGAACCATTTGGGAAGAAATCCAAGAAGGAGAAAAAAGAAAAGGGCAAAGAGAACAACAAACTGGAAGGTATTTTAAGAAGACAGTGTATCCATTGTCTCAGTGACTCCACTGATAACAAAGACCTAACTGGTAGATACAAGGGGCCACATGTGTTTCCTAAAGTTCCCTAAAGTCCCTGAGAAACACGTGTCCTATAGAAGCTACTTTGGAGAGGCCCTGGTTAGACCTGACAGATGCTGATAAGCAGCCTGAGGCCTCGGCCCCTCATCTTGTGCCCCTGCTCTCTGGACTGCATTCGCTGCTCTTTCCTAAAGGCAGGGAAATGGGCAGGGTGGCCTCTGAGCACACTGCTATCCTTCAGGAATTCCTGGTAGTTCAGTTGAGAAGTACTTTAAACATGTAAGATTTTTAGCAGCACAGTGCTTAAGTTAGAATTGGTTACTGTTATAGGCTGTTAGATACTGGGGCTTTGGGGGACGGGTCCATATGGCTATTTAGTGAATGCAGATGGTATCTCAGTTACAGCTGGTGGTTCAACTTAGTGATTTCTCAACTTGACAATTTTATGAAAGCAGTATGCATTCAGTAAAAATTGGACTTTGAATTTCGATCTTTTCTTAAGATAGTGATATGCAGTGTGATATTCTGATATTAGCCAATAGTATCGAGCTACAGCTCCTAGACAGGCACATACTTGGGGAAACACTTGATACTCCACAGTGTACTCTGTTGCCATGATACTTGTTAATTTAAGTATATTATGTGTATTAACTTACAGTATTTTCAACTTATGATGGGCTTAAGGTATAAAATGCCATCATAAAAAGCATCTGTATAAGCCAAGATTTGCTTTCTGCCTTTACCATTCGCATGTAAATTTCCCCTCCCCTTGGCAATGGAAGGAACCTAAAGTGGGTGACCCCAGATTTGCGTTTCAGTTCTGAAGAAAACATCCAAGAAAAAGAAAATGGAGGGAGGTGCTCGCAAGCTGGTTCGGCCCATTGCCCTGGATCCCTCAGGACGGCCTGTGTTCCCCATCGGACTGGGGGGTCTAACAGTGTATAGCCTGGGGGAGGTGAGTGAGACCAGCATACAGACAGATAATCAGAGCCATGGGAGTGGGGCTGAGCCTTCCCTGTTCCCACTGGCAGCAGCCCTATGCTGATCCTTACCAACCCCAGAAAGTCTCTCATCCCTACGAAACCAGGTCAGTTTCATCTGCTCACGGCCATCACTTTCTGTTGGATTTGTCATTCTTTGCAGCCCCACAGTGGCTCTAAAGACTACCATAGTAAACCGGGCCTCTAAAGCCTTAAGTGACCTGAACTCGAGATTGGGCAATCTTTTATAGATCATTACCAACCGACCTGGCTTCCATGATGAGAGTGCCATCTACCCTGTGGGCTACTGCAGTACTCGAGTGTTTGCCAGCATGAAGTACCCAGACCAGAAGTGTCTGTACACCTGTCAGATCAAGGACGGTGGCGTGCAACCCCAGGTACTCCTCCACTATGATTATTTTCCTTTGTTGTTATTTCTTTCTGTTTTGAGAACCTCCTTTATCCTTGGCTTCTTAACTGTTTACTTATTCTGATAGTCTGTAAGATACCACAATATCAAAATACAATGATATTGTGTCACCATTTGCACAATGCCAAGATGCAGAAAGCCTGGCTAGCTCTGTCACAGCTGCACTTCTGGGTGTTTGATCTGGGATACAAATGTGTTTGTAATTCACTAGGTGATACCTTTTCCTTAAACCACAGTCATTTTACCACACATACTGTTACTGTTTGAGGCTAGAACGAGTTGGTTTAGGTTGAGTGCAAATTCATACAGAGATCATTTGATAAATTGTTGCTTCAGCTAATGTACAAGGATCCTCAGGCAAAAACAGCAGTGTCAGAGCTCCACAGTTCCCTCTCTCATACAGCTGCCAATCAAGAACACTGAGCTAGAGGCATGGTAAGGACCCTGGAGTCGGAACCTGAGCCTGACTAACTGGGGGAGACTCATCTCTGTCACAGCTCTGGTCATTGGAGCTGGTGTTTGACATCATTTTGGCCACACAGCCTGCTCCACAGAAAGTGCGCTAATAGGGAAAGTTACCATTGTACGCTGTACCACATTTTCAACATCTGTAAGTGCGGCGCATATCCAATCAGAGTCTCAGTAGAATTTTAATGAAAATCACATGATTCTTCATTTTCTCTGGGAGACAAAATGCTAAAAAAAAATTACTGCTCTTAGGTCACTAATCAAACAAGATTCTATTTTTTAGTATAATATGATTGATTTGTAATAAAAATTTGGCTTCAGTGTTTCCCCCAACATTAGATGACTTTAGTTTGATAATATCCAGTATTGGCAAAGATACACAAAATACAAAAAAAAAAAAAAATACACAGTGAAAATTGGTAAAGTATCCTTTGGCCCAGAATATTTCTAGGTACTCTTGTATTTCCCAGAGAACTAGAGGATGACATAGAACAACGTATTCATTTCTGTAAAGTACCAGTTTTATTTAGACTTGGGGCTGTACGTGGATAGAAAGGTATGGAGCAAGTTCAGTGCTGACCACTGGCCAAAAGTCAAACAGATAAAGAGAATCAGAAGTCACGGGATTTTCTCTGTTTACCTGGGTTTGAATTTTTAACAACATTGTCAGATACCTTTTTGTGCCCGTTGTACAGCAGCTCTAGAGACTGGGCTGTTTATAGGAGTCATACAACTCTACCTCTCCCCTTGTTAATTGACCTGATTGTTCCTATCCTTCTCAGTTTGAGATTGTTCCTGAAGACGACCCCCAGAACACCATCGTCGGCTCCTCTGCAGATGCTTGCTATGAAGAACTGGTCAGGGCCATCAGTGCGGCAACGTAAGTTGGCCACCAGCCAGAGGACTCACAAAAAGGTTCACCATGGGTATAATTGAGACTTTTTCTCTCTCAGTGCCTGGAGATCTCTTGCTTTATAGGAACCTAAGCTATATCCTTAGACACTTCAGCTGCTGGCCTCAGAGGATATTAGGAAGGCCTCAGTGTGGTGTCTGGTCATACTACCGTTCCATTCTTAAGCCTGTCTTCGTCCCTTCCTAAGCTCTCAAGTTAAAGCTCTCTCTCTTCTGCTTAGGGGGAAACTGATGCCTAACCTACTTTCATGTGGTGCTGAGTTCTTCGGGTATTCCCATCCAATCATCCACAACCTGATTCAGAGTTGTCCGGAAGCTCAGAATTGTGCCAAGTAAGTGGGAGCCCAAACTGTTCCACTGATAGGCGCTCAGCTGCCCGGCAGACCAGTGTCCTAAACTGGAAGTTACTGCTTTGTTCATGTATGCATTTCTGTGTCAGAGGTGTGCTTGCTCCTTTACTGTGTGCCACAGCGCTGACCCACTTAGCTACCTAAACAGGTGAGCAGGAGCCCGTTACCCAGTGTGCTCCGTAATGCTTGAGGAGACTGCTTCAGTTTGGGGTTTTTTAAGATTTTCTATGTGGGCCAGGTGTGGTGGTGCACACCTATAATTCCCGTACTTGGGAGGCAGGGCAGGTGGATCTCTGCATTCCTGATCTTCAGATCAAGTTTGGGCGGTGGCGGGGGGTGGGGGGGATGACTTTATATGCATAAGAGGTAACTTGGGGACAAAACCTAAGTCTAAATAGGAAATCCGGTGTTTGTTATACATACACCCTGGACAGTTTTATATAATATTTTTAGTGCACCTTCATTTTAATTGTGACCATCCCATGAGGTGTAGAATTTCCCATTGTTTTCATTGTTACACAAAATGTGTTGGAGTATTTTGAAGTCTCAAATTAAGGCTGTTCAATGTGTGCCGTTTTGTGTACTGTGGAGCACTGTCACCTGTCACCAGAGGCTTGCCAGCTCAGGTTTGCTTGGGTTGTTTTTCTTAGCTGATGCTTTTTAGATATATAGTGGGAGAAGACCAGATTTAAAAAAAAAAGATTGATCCATTTGGTAGGAAGGGTTATTGTGGACTAACAGACAGCTCTCCAGGATAACTCTCTTGGGTCCACAGTTACCAGTGGGTGAAAGCTGACACCTGCAGACCCAGGAAGGGGCAGCTCTCCCAGGAACTGTCAGAGAGCGACGCGGCTGTGAGCCTGGAAGCCTTTCAGACACAGCCGTTTGATGATGACCATGAGGACTCCATTCTGCCAGGTATCTTAGCTTTTCTGGTTTGAACCCTGATCATCATTAGACTACTGCACCCTCATCACACATGGTGGGCAGTAAGTAGCATGTGTCATTGAGCCAGCCATAGAAAGTGAGAGTAAGGGGGCAGGAAGCCTGTGGGGCTCCCGTGTTACTTACAGAACCTACCCAGAAACTTCACTGTCTCATTCTGTCACGTAAGTGAGACCGAGTGCAGACTGGCAGGGCTTGCTGTACAGGGAATAACACTTAAGGTGAAGACAAAGGCCAGTAGTGACTTTTGACCCTGCCCTACGTTGCCTGGATTATTTTCCAGAAATGAAAGTGGTCAGGGGCTCGGATTTTAGGGTCATAAGGGTTTGTATGTATGACAGTTCGCTACATCTGTTCATTTTTGTTCCACAGTTAAAAGAAATACCAGTCTGTCTATTTTACCAACCAAAGGCAAAACAGGGTTGACTTTTACAAGTGTAAGGAATTAAGAGGCTGTGGATACATCCAAGCAAAACAGTCCTGAGATTCCTAGGCAACGGTGCAATTAAAGAATTGGTTTTTTCAGGATCCCTGGACCTGCCTGAGCTTCAGCATGAAGCCTTTGTGTCGTCTTACCAGCCAGAGTTCCTGACACATGAGCCCTTGGTGGACACTGACCTGCAGCATCTCAAGTCTCCACCACAGTGTAGCCCAATGCAGTCTTCAGACTGAAGAGGGCAGATCCCACTTCATTTCATCATCATGAGTTTTTAACTTAAACTTACTCTATGTGAAAGGAGGCAGCAATTGAAAAGCAGAGATGATATTAACACATTTCACCGTGGCTGTTCCTGTGCTGACAGTGTACCCTGGGATAAAACTTCAGTTGCTTTTATTTTTAGTAATAAATATCTCTTGACAGTTCTGCTTATTTTTATCTTCTTGTAGTCAGGATATGATCACTTGTGCTCAGTTCTCCCTGAAGTAAACTTAAGTCTATATAAACTTACTTAGTCTGCTGGGGCTGCTATACAAATCGCCATGCTCTGGGTAGCTTATAAACAACAAATTTACTTCTCACAGTCGGGAGCCTGGGAAGTCAAAGCTCAAGATGCCTGGTGATAGCTTGTCCCGGGTTCTTAGCTAATTGCTTTATTTTGACTGTAAGTGGAAGGGAGACGGTAGAGCATAAGACTTTTAATCTCAGGGCCATGGGTTCGAGCCCCATGTTGGATACCAAATGGAGCACAGTTAATAAAAACCTAGAGACAGAAATTGGGGTTAAACCTGAAGGTCAAAAAAGCAAAACAGCCAGCCACTGCCACTTACATCTACCTCAGTCCAAAATGGTGATCCTGCCTCCAGGAATCCTCAGAATGAGACTGAGAGAGCTGTCTCCTCCTGTCTTATATTCCTCTCTAGGGCTGGGATTCGAGGCATGCACCACTACCGCCCAGTTTCTATGGCAACTAGTGTGTCACCACTGCCTGATCTGTAAGGCTGACCAGTGTGGCTGTTTTACTTTATGCCTGAACTTCAGGCAAGCTTTATTTATTAAAATACAAATGAAATATCACTACAGTTATACAGAGCTATTTTGACCCCTAATCTCCCTGTAGGAGGTCCTTCTGTTTGTGTGTTACTTTCATTGGTTAATTAATAAAGAAACTGCTTGGCCTGATAGGGCAGAACATAGGTAGGCAGAGAAGACAGACTGAATTCTGGGAGGAAGAAAAGGAGAAGAATCGCCATGGAGCTGCCAGAATCAGACATGCTGAATCTTTCCCAGTAAGCCACGACCACATGGTGACATACAGATTATTAGAAATGGGTTAAATCAAGATGTAAGAGGTAGCCAATAAGAGGCTAGAGATAATGGGCCAGGCAGTAATTTAATTAACACAGTTTCTGTGTGGTTATTTCAGGTGTAAGCTAGCCGGGCAACCAGGATAAAGGACCTGCTCTCCATGCAACATCTCCCTAAGACTGTAATTGTAACATCACAGAGAGATTTGCATTAGCAAAGTGAGTTCGTGGCAGCTGCTGATTCATGAAGTAAGCAGAGAATCTTAACAACTCAATATACTAAATTCTAATCCTAGTTAGGAATATTGAGTCACCAGCCCCTGTAACCCAGGCCCCAACTTTATTTTCTTGTCAATATCAGTAGAACAAGTTCTGCTTATCTCCAAACTGGGAACCCATATATTCCTATTTTTGTTGAGTTTGCACATCTTTTGAGGGGATAAAGTCCTCTGTAACTCAGTTCCTTATTTAAAAATGCACTTGTACCCAATGTTAACACAAGTTCAGATACAACATAGTTATGGATTAGTTCCCTGCCTTCATACGGACTCATTTTTTACTGTATTCTACACAATTGGACTTTGAATCTTCTGTACAACATTAAAGTTGGGGGAGGGGGACTTTCTGTGCCACCTACTTCTGGCTCAGTGTACATTACTTGGGCCCAAGTTCATAACTTCCTATCTACGAGAATAGAAGAGGAGAGAATAATACCCTGGTCTTATTTTTGTCACGTTACTAGAGCATGCTCCTTTTACCATATAAAAATATCAGCCCATTGGAATTACAACCTGAATAAAGACAAACTAAAAGTTTCATTTTAAGTCAAGTATGGTGGTACACGCTGTTATTCTCAACAAGGAAAAGTAGGCAGATTTCTAAGTTCAAGGCCAGCCAAGTCTAGAAGTGAGATCCTGCCTCAACAACATTTTTTACAATTTGGTGGATTAGCACAAGTTCACAACTTTTGAACTACAAACCTTAATCCTCTAGCTGCATGCATTTAAGGAATTACTGGGTGCAGTGACTCATGCCTTTAATCCTAGCACTTCAGAGGTAGAGGTAGGCAGGTCTCTTGAGTTCAAGGCCAGCCTGGTTTACATAGTGAGTTCCAAAACAGCCAGAGCTCTATAGTGAGACCTGGTTCTCCCCCCACCCCAGAAAAAAACAAAACATAACTTTGAGTCAACACCTAAATCTTTTAAAGGTCACATCCCACTAAAATATATGAGACATGGAAAGGTTGGTTTCAACTATAGTGTGTATACATATTTACATATGTTTACATATATCATATGAAATACAGTACAAACCAGGCAAAAGTCAGCACAGCAGTGTTTCTCCTTGAGTGATGATTCAGGACTGGTTTTTACACTCTCCTTTAACCCAAATTTGCCAGTGAATGATTAATTTTCAAACAGTTGTACATTATTTCTATTTGGGGAAATATACAATCTGCACACAATGCTTGAAACTTCAAACACTAGTATTTTATTCATAATGACTTCACTGCCACATGATTTACCTGCATCAAAGTTTGCACCCAATTATTATTGGGTATTAAAGGACACTGAGCTCGGGGTTCTTGGCTATCTCTAGCAGCCTCCACATTACAACATAAGCATGTGTGCCAGTGATGAACCAGCTCAACTTCATTTTAAGTATGGAAACCATTTTGTTATAAAGTAAGAATAAGGTCATAAGAATAAGTTTGTTTGCTGCAGAATTCAAGCTTGACCATGCTTTAACCTGTTTCTGGAATTTGACATGCTCCCTACTCTATGGAGTTTGACTCACACCTTGAACGTACCCTGATAAGATGGTCTACCAAATAATTTTTGAAATGTTCAGCTAAATTCTTATGTAACCAACATTCCTCTGGAAATCCCCCAATCTTGAAAAACCGTGTAGTCTTGCAGTTTTTGAACTTTATAAACCCTTCCCTGTGTTCGATGATATTTTCTTGAAACCCCCACTTTAGGGAGAGAGCTCTACCTCACAGAAAATAAAGCTTACATAATTTAACCAAAGAATTTGGGTAACGATCCTTACTCTTGTTTGGTGGGATTAACACCAGGGTTTGGCAGAGGGCCGGGCAGATAGACTTGACTTTTTCTTGAGAACTGATGGTTTCTGGGCTTACGTTCTCATATGGCCAGATGCAAAGAGGTCAGCATGTGGGCATTAGGAATTAAATGCAGGCTAGAAATCCACACAAGTCAAGGGCCCTTGCAGAATATATAGTTTGGTTTTTTTTCTTTGTTTTTAACCAAATAAACTCCTGATACAACATCTTGCTGCTTCTAGTGACACCAGAGCCCCACAGAATAATGAGAAACGCTCACTGCTTCAGTTCCCACTTCTCACACCAAACAAAAGAGCTGTGTGCAGGTGACACTCGTACTCCTTTCTGTGCTTCAAGGACACTGTAAATCTCTTGCTAACAATCTGCCTGAATATACAGATGTATCACTAGTTATAGTACTTTTATTTTCAATTTCTTGGGGCGGGGGGAATTCAAGAGTGTTCCTCTAGATAATTCTGGCTGTTATGGAACTCACTCTGTAGACCAACTAGACTTGAACTCAAGAGATCCACCTATCTCTGCCTTCCAAGTGCTGGGATTAAAGGTGTGCACAGCACGCTTGGCTTATTACCAATTTCTAATAGGTGCAACTGTCAGAGCTGCCAGCCGTCTTTAATCAGCTGGTAGACTGCACCATCACCTTTGCCTTGCCTGCACTCATTCTTATCATGTAGCTTTTCTTTCACCTAAACTCTTCAATGTGGATTACCCTTAGCTCAACTTCTATCTCTCAGGGACCCGAGACTTATTTTTAAGGACCTATTTGCCCCAAGTACATCTACTTCCATGTGTCCCTATGCCTGTGATTTCTTCACTCTTTGGGCCCTCTCTCTTTATTCCTTAAGGCCTGTCCTTAGCACCTGCCACTATGCCTAAACATAGGACTGATATGTCTCAAAGATTCATTTTAGAATAAGATTTGTGCTGAATACAGATAGTTTTGGGAGCTTAATGAGGATACAAATACATGGTCTAAGGTTACCTGAAAGATTAGCCATGAGGTAGTAATGCTTGACAAAAGACAGCTGTTCCACAGATGGGACCTTCTTAGCATCCCCAGCCATTTTAGGGGTTTGGAAAGAACACACAAAGCACCAGCCTCTGCAGCCTTCAACATCTCTTGTATGCCTGAGGGTTCTCAGTTTTGGATGAAGGGGCAGAAATGGGCATTTCACTCCCTATATCAGGGAAGTAGGTGGTGGTAAGGCCCAATGTTGCAGTTAAGAATTAGATCAGCCCAGAGGCTTGAGCTAACAAGAAGACAAAGATAAGTAAGTATATGTTGTTCAAATGCTTATCTCAGAATATAGGAAGAGCCATATGGTAGCTGGGAGCTATTCAGTGAGGCTTCTGGTAATTGCCCTTAAAATCCATAGCTGTCGTCATTTAAACTCCTAAATGCCCAAATCTAAAGAACTCGCCCTTGTATTTAAGAGGTGTCAAATGTCCTTTGACACCCCTGTCCTAAGTCCGGGAACCTAGTGTGTAATAAGAGCAGTGAAGGGAGGAGCTGGCAAGGTACTGCTAGGGTGGTAAACGGCACACTGCTTATATTCACAGGGCCATGTGGTCCAGGCATAGCGAACAGCAACCACGGTGCCAAGACAAGCATTGATACCCAAGATCAGGGTCTGGGTGGAGAACGTGTTCACAGGAGCTGGAAGCCATTTGCACTGATGGTCACTGCAACAGGAGATCTAATAAGAGAAACACAGAATGGCCAGGCAAGTTAGAGGGGTGTACCAAAAAAAAAAACCAGAGACCCACTCTTTCAGACATACTAGAAAGGAGGGAAAATAAAGCCACTCTGAGCTAGAGAGCAGTTAGAAGGGTCTGGTGACGGAGTCACAGGTTAACAGTAAATGTTCATGTAGGTTAAAGGTATAGCTTGGTGGACACACCTATGCCTAGCATGGACAAGGCCCTGGGTTTGGTTAATGTTCAAGTGATTGAGTAATTAAAACCCATTGAAAAATATTAACTTTCTGGGGAGACAAGGAACAATAGTCCAGCATTCAGAGACTGGACCCCTG